CGTGTAATCTAATATTCAAGGAGCCCAACATATGGAACATCCCACTAAGATAACTAGTATGGATTTCCCTCACCAACTGTTCGGGAGGTCTTTGCATTTTTGATGTGTCTGGAAAAATCCATACCACGCAGGGCAACCTTCTTTCAAAGACAAAAAAAAAGCTTCAGTTCGTTTGAAATTAGAATGAGTGCGCTTCGGGATTCGAGACTGTACAGAATTTTACTTATCTTCTTGATAATGGTATTGAGCTTCGTTTTCAGAAACAAGCTTCGTTTTCACTGGCGAATTGCCAGCAAATATTTCTGAAGGAATTGATGACTTTCAAGATACTAACCTTTTGAAGGAATGATGCAATGGGGCCGCGGCGGCTAAGTTTTCGCTGTGCTCTTAGTGAGTCGTAGATGTGCGAGGCTACTACTTCAACTGAATCCTTTCTCTTTTCGGATTGCATATTACTCACATCCTGTGACATCACAACAATGCCTTTTACTGCTATTCCTGGAAAAAGCCCGAAAAGATTGAAATTATGTACGGATATTCTGATGCTCAAACTTGCTGAATGAGTAAAATGTGAGGAGTAGTACTGTTGTGTGCAGAATTCGAGGGTTCGACTCCATCGGTAAGAATACCAATTCCTCAAGTTTCGTTCATTAGTTTCGGTGGTAACTTAGTACAGGTATATAGTAAGGAGTCACACCCGCCATTAGTTTGCTTATAAATAATCCTCGAAAGAGGAAGGCATCGAAAATTTTGCCAGGGAGAGTTGCTCTTGTCACTTGCTAACGTCGTTACCCTAAGTACTTCCGCCTCTTGTAGAGCGCGAATTTGTAAGATGTGAGCACAGGCGCGACGCTACTCTTATACTGAAGGTCAAGAACTCAACCAACCTCATCACGATTCATTCATTGGGCGTCTCAACTGAGTAAAATTGTACAGACAAAAACCAAATAAATTTTATGTAAGGCAAAAAAACGCTTTGCTTTTTTAAGTTCATGAACTACGTGAACAAGTAGAATAAAGAAAAATTAAAGATAGGCACTTTTGATGAAATGATTTGAAAACGTGTCGAAATTAAATTTGAATATTGAAATTTTTAATTGTACCTGATTGCCAATTCAGTAGTTGCCATATAAGACAGGGTAAATAGAATAAAATGCCTTGTATACCCAAAATAAAAGGCACCCACTGGTAGTAACCTGAAAAAGAAATTCATTTCAATTTAAAAATTTTAATTTTCCTGAAACATTTCATAGCACTTTTTAAAAATTCTAATTTCCATTCCAACTTAAAAAATCCAAATTTCCTGAAACATTTTATAGCCAGGTGTAGAATTTGTTTGATCCTTCATGTACCTCTAATTAGTACCCACCGTGGCCAGTATCTCTGCTTCATCCTTACTGTAACTCATCGTAAAGAGTGTACAAACGAGGCAAATAGCCAAATTATTACGCTTAAGCGAGAGATGCACCTCCCCAATGACACTCATAGAGAAGCCAGTGAGCAATGCACTTCATCATCAACAACTAATACACATCTCTTACAGTCTGCTGCAAGCTTCCATCCAGTAGCATAAACTCCCTCAGAGCATAAGCCAATCAGTGAGGCTTCTGCTTATGCTTACGACCCATCTGCTCATGAAGATACTGTATCAAATTAACCGTTCCCAAAAAACACAAAATAAACATATAAAATTACATTAAAAATTAAATGAGCAATAATGTCTCGGTCCATTAAGTCGTATACATTCCCATTCAACACCAAAGGAGACTGCTGTTGGCAAGATGCTAGTATTTGAAACATTCCCAAGCCCTATTTTCCCTCATATCGAGTGAGGAAGAGCATAAAAAGAAGAAAAAGAAAGTCGATTTAATTCAAATACAAAACCTCCAAGAAATACTACCAGAACTGTTCTCTAGATTACTTTTAAACGTCCACTATAAATCAAAATATATCTAGGGCTATTTTGTGCAATCTTTTGCAAATTTTTCGTCAAAAAATCCTGTAATTTTGTGTAAAAAATGAACTGTTCAGCTGAAATTTGGCCAAGAAGTAGCCAAAACTAGGTTATCAAAATGGCGGAAGCGCCAAATCCTACCAATTTCACGGTCTTCGCGTTCCTGCAAATCTCGAGGTATGTAGTGATCCAGCGGCAAGAAGTAGGTATTTTGCACAAAGCAATAGTTTTCACTGTACTGCTCCCAAGCACCTGAAACAGAAAAACCAATTGCTACAAATCGGACGTCTAGAAACTGAATTACTAAAAATTCAAAACTCATAATATTGTTCTCCTTCGCAAAACCATTCTGGGCAAGAAGATAATAAGAATTAAGTTTGCGAAAGTAAAAAACTGAAATAACTAATCATTTCCTTTACTATTCGTTCAACCGTTTTGATAACAGAATGATGCTAGCATATACTAGGGGGTCAATCCGCCATAAGTTTGCTTGCAAACAAATCAGAAAGAGGAAGCCATCGACAGCCTTGCCAGTTAGTGACTGCTGTTAGCTCTTGCTATCACATGGATTATTTCTCAAGTGATTTCGCCTTACGCAGAAGGCAAATGTGGTAATGGTTTTCATTTTGACGCTTGTCTAAATTTCAAAGGCTGAGCCTTAGCGGTCTTCAGAAAATCTATTTGCCGCTTCCTTCTCTCCCCAACTTATGTCATTTCGTAACGCCTCTCGTGTATGACAGCACGGTTATATTTTAAAAGTGTTTGAGAATTGAAGGTTCAATTGCAGCTTTAAGCCAGTGGTTGGGCTTAGGAAAGAAGCATTTGTATCTGAATTGAGGAGTCATATGGTAAATTTTAATATCTTGAACAAAGTAAACATAATGAAAACTAGCCAGTAAACTGAGCTGGAACCCAGCACTGGATTGGTTGTCCGACATATCTGAAAATAAAGTCTAGATGACACAGGAATTTGCAAAAAAAAGCACCCAATCTAAAACTTAGATATCCAAAGATTCTAGAATATTTGCGTGTGGATGAGATTCGGAGGAATGTGATTATTAGCGGGGCAAACAAGTATACAGTGACTGATTTAAGTAAAACTACGTTTTTTTTGGGCAGCCGGCAAAGAACTAGACAACTTATAGATTTCAGCAGGTCACAGATTCATATGTGCTGTTCGCGCACTTCACTACGTAAAAAGTGGATCTTTTTGAACTGAGTGTAATTTAATAGCAAAAATCCCCACTGGTTATGCGGTTACTGGTTTCATCTTCCAAAGGTTGCGTGAATGGCAAGTTAAAGGACGCTTTAACTCCTAAGCATGCTAGAGATACGTTGACATTAGTCGTAAAATCACCGAATCGACGAAGGACATGTTGTTTTTAACTAACCAAACCCCTTGAACCTATAATTGGGCGCTTATCTGATATTCCTTGAAGCCAACTAACAATTTTGCCCAATCCCCACTTTCGCGTATAATGCGATAAAATTGCATAAACATACTGTTTTGCGCTGAGTGTTAATGCAAAAATGATGAGTATCAGTGGTAGGTAGTA